TTTATACAGCGTGTAGTTGGTCAGCCATTTGAAAGTTGCGACGAGTCACCCACTGTAGATGAGCAATAGACCGATCTCACCAAGCGTTCCACGCATGCGTGACGCCGCCATAACTGTTCATAGGAGGCACATGCCAGTTCACGAGATAGCTCATGCCGCCTCGTGCTCTGCTCGCGCAGACCTCCAGCAGGGTTGTCGCGCGTGCAGAAAGACTACAGCTCCCACGATGCACGGCGACAGCGGTGGCGTACTCAAACTAGCTTTGGGATCGGTCTATTTAGCCAGTGCAGTGCAACCGCTAGTCTGGGTCTTTAACGTGCACCACCCAGTAGTGATTATCATGGACTAACTGCGAAGGCTGTGCAAGCGCGAGCGGGTAGCATTGACTGCCTTGACTGGAGCACTCGCTGGACGAGCGCTCGTGCTGCCGCCTGGGCTTCACCAAAAGCAAATAGCTCGCGCGTTTAGCATGCGCGGCCAACCGTAGTCCATGCTAATGTGCGTAAAATCGGTGTTACATATGAAAGCAAAGTGATTTTTCGACGCTAGAAACCTTCTTCTACTCTGCGTAAGAATTACACGGCGGAAGCATAAAAATAATTACTGGAAACGATGTTTCTTTCTCTGCTGCGAGAACCAAGCAGTGATAGGAGACGACAGGGTCGAAACGACACCCTGTTTGGAGCTTCTCGGCGTTGCCGTTGCACGGCGTCGATTTCCCTGGCGTCGCCAATAGAGTTCAACATTCAACTCAATGGGCGCGTAAACGCACCGACAGCAATTTGTACCGAAACATATCCATCGGCCGCTTGTTGGTAATCGTGTTTGTTTGTTTGTTGGAATGCATTTTGCCAATGCGCTAGGAAAATTTCGTAGTTCAAAATGGCGGAGAAACGCCATTTTGTATTCCTCCCGACATCAAACGTTCCCGCGTCTACGACTCTACCAACGAACTCGGCGTTTTACGCGATGCTATTACTAGGCGTGTCTGAACTATTTTCCCTGATCACCTGTTTACTCGTCCCTGCGGTGGCTACCATTGTGTTTTACGCTGTAAAACGAATCGGAGAAATCGGCGCCTGCCATGGGCGTACCAACCCGGGGGGGGGGGGGGGGGGGGGGGGGAAGAGCCCTCCTTGCCCCCCCCAGTTCTCATAGTGGGGGGGGGGGGGCGGGCAAAACATGAGTTTTACCCCCCCCCCCCCCCCCCCCGATACAGCCGCCACTGGGCAGGGCAAACACTGGCCGACGGCGCCCAAGGGATACCAAGGGCACCGTCCCCCGGCCCGGGGGGGGGGGGGGGGTCTAATTTGCACTTTGCCCCCCCCCCAATTCAAAAACAAGGTGGTGCGCCACTGGCGCCTGCACATAAAAAGCTTGAAGTTTCACTGAATGTGCGACTAGGTGGTCAGTTTCGGTTTGTGAAATATCAAGGCGTAGTACCCGTTCTGCAAAAAAAAATGAGACCAACAAACTTGCGAAATGTCAACGGCGGACGTGTTCGCAGACGACCGAGTTGGCGATGAATGCAGCTTGTGGCGCCATCTCTCGCTAGACGGAGCTAGCAGACAACAGAGCGCATGCAGAGCGCTTCTTCTGCTCGCTGCGCATTCCGGGAGATGGCGCCACAACCCACATTCATTACTATTTCGGTCGTCTGTCCACAAGTTCGCCGTTGACTTTGGCAAAATGGCTAATTTCATTTTTTTTTTTTTTTTTTTTTACAGGAAGAGCATTACATTTTGAAATTTGACAAAGTGTGATGAGTTTTCGGAGTTTTCTCTGAGCAGGCGCCGATTTTTCCGGTTCGTTTTGCATCGGAAGGTCCTCTTGAGACACCCTATTTGTGTTTGAATGACGTAATGGCTAAAAAAAAAAAAGAAAACAGTAACAATGAAATGTCTTCCCTTTGTTCATGATGCATGTGCGTGCGCACTGGAATTGCTTTCATTTGACTTTATATGTACTGGTATCCGTTAACCCCCCTTTTGTTTGTGGTTTGTTTTCTTCTCACACGAAATGACGTAGTCTTTTTTGTGTGTGCTTGCGGATCTGTCAGCTGGCTTTCGTATCACACACGGGTCTTCTCTTTTTCACTGGTTCTCTCTTTTCAACCTTAATTGGTGTTCCCGCTAGTTTTGACCTTTGTTTGACCGTGTCTCATCTTTGTGTGTCAAGGCTGGTTCGCACATTTGCGTTTGACTCTGTCGAGTCTGTTGCGGGCTCTTGCAACCGCTTAACGTACTGGCAAGCTGGCGCCACCTATCGGCCAGCATAATTGTTTAACCGTGGGCTTAATGTAATTCTGACGACGTTGTAAGCGGCTATGTTTTTCTCATAAATAATGCGTAGATTTAATCTCGCAAATAATCACAAAAACCTTCAATCAGTCGTACGCAGGTTGGAGGAGTTCCAGGTTTGCCCGATAAGTGGCGCCAGTGTGTCAGTGTGTTCAGAGGTTGCAACTAGGGATGCCGCCAACTTCCGTCGAACCTGAAGTTTGACGTCGAATCTCGAGATTCGACTGGTCGGCGAACCCTCGACCTTTGGTCAAAAATCGACGAAGTTCGGCTTATGGACAGTGTTTCCCGACTTCTACGCAGATATTTCTAGTTTTGCGAAACGAATAACTTACAAAGTAGATTCTATTGTATTTAATCAAATGATTACCGACGTTTACAGAAGGTAAAAGCAAAAATATGCCCTTTTAGGGCTTTAGTGTTTTCATTAATGCGAAACAATAAAACAATTCATGAAGCAGATGTTGTACTTTTCCTCCGACAGGTGGAAACAGCCCGTTTTTTAATTGTTGCTCGCGCGCACAAAAAGTCCAACTTCAGTCGAGTATTTTCTCTTTTCTTTTTTTCGCGCTTTGCGTAAGAAGTTTGAAAAAGTCGAACCTGGTCGACCTCGAACCTCCCCAGGTTCGCGACATCCCTAATTACAACGCACTCGGCACAGACAAACGCCAATGTGTGAATCAGCCTGACAATCGCTGTCGCCATTTTTCTCAATCCAGTGTTCATTTCAGGGCGAACATCGCTTTCTCTGTGCAACTGAAATGTTTTTTTTTTTTTTTTTTTAGTTGACCGATTTTTAGCTGAGATGGCTTGGCCTCATTATTGGTCTGTGTTCGGCCTGTTCTCCTATCCGTAGTCTGGCAACTGTAGTTCTTCTCCCTTCCTCCTCGTTTGTTCTATTTCCTCTTGTTTTCTTGTTTGTGTTTTACAGTGACGCAGGTACCGCGCGGACTTAAACTTAGGGAGTTCGACCAGGTTCTCCGTTTTCGAACTTTTAAAGCAAAGTTCGACCAAAGGTCGACTCAAGTTCGACTCTTCTACCCACCTGGTGGAAGAGTGCAGTTAACCCGAAGTTCGACTGAATAAGACCATTCTACGCCACCTGGCGGATAAGGGTAGTAAGCTAATTTCATCGTTAAACTGATTACATGCTCTTTTATATTGCCTAAACATCCGGGATAATTGTCTGGAATATAAAGTAGATTACTGTGAGAATTATTTTTCAAATCTAGACATTTTTTGTGTGTAGAAGTCGGGCAACACTGTTCAGAAGTCGAACTTTGTCGAATTTAGCTGAACGTTCGAAGGTTGGCGAAACCAGTCGAACCAAAGAATCGACAAAAAGGTCGCTGTATCCTTACTCAACAGAGCGGCAGTAGATCGTAGAGCCGTATCGCGAGTGTCGTGCGTGGCTGAGAGCGTTCTGAACCCTTCCAAAACGTCTTAGGGATGGATGACTTGACGAAACATCCCAGAGACTGCCCCGAAAATTAGGTTTGCGCGTATTGCTAGGCCTAAATGGGCGGCTCTTGTGAAAACTAAACCGATTACCCAACGTTCCAGCTCTAATATTTGTTGCCTACTAGCTACGATTTCTCCTACGAACTCCCGATGCACCTGCGGCCAGTAGGGGTCGTCATGGCAACGGACGTCCTGGCAACGACGGTAGCTTTGTAACTGCCAACTTGAAGAGAGCAGTGCGCACCCTAAAGTTTTTTGGCAGCGAAGTTAAGCATATTCTTTCCGTCTAATTCTCTCGATGATTCGAAAAAGGGGATAGCAAAGACTAATTACTACATTCCTTTCAAATATTTTAAAAGCAGTTTCCACTCGGTGGTAAAGGGGCATTAAAGTGCGTTTTAAGGTTCTCGTTTTATTGTGATGTTTCAATCTACGAGCTCTAAGCGTCCTAAAAATCCCGAAATTACATTCATGCGCGGCCGATCTGCACATTAAAAAAAAATTATCAAAGTTTCGACATCTACTGTTGGCGCAGAACGACAGATGGCGCTACCAGAAAACGAGAATCTCAAAAAAACACTTTAGTGCCCCTTTAAGATGACGAAAAAAGTCAAAACCGCAGCTGGGTAATTACAATCTCGGGGGCACTTATATCATTAGAAGAGAGCGCAGCTGTGTAATTACACGACCAGACATATTTTTGAAAACCAACAACGTCCTCTCGGTTTTAATTTCAAAAGAGCCGTTTGTTAGGCCTTGCCGTCCGCGCAAACCTTATTTCTGCGTTCTCTTTGGTAATCCGTTTCCTCTTCAAAGCCATCTCTCTAAGTCACACCAGGTCAAAAGTCCCTTCAGCTTGTTTCGCAGACGTGAGCAAAAACATTATGCTGGCAACTTCGAGCCAACAGACTACGGACGCCAGTATGTTTGTCAAAACTTTGTAATGTTTTTACAAACACACTGGCGTTCGTAGTCGGTTGCCCACACTGAAGCACTGCACAAAGTCTCACCAACAACGTGTTTGTTTCATGTTAGCGGGCAAGTTGGTTGGCTGTTGTCCTAGTGAGTTCGGGTAACTAAAAAAAAACGAAATAAACAAATAGCAGGGTAAACCAACGTTGAATGGCACTCAATCGTCGCCGCTTTCAAGATGGCGTCACCGGAAGCAGACGATAGCGCGAAGCGGAAGTTCGCCCTCAGCCCGTAAGACGTGTGATGTGATCACTTCCTCATTTGCAGATCGTGAAACAGAAACTGTCGGCCGACGCAGGCGCGGCCTTGCGCATGCGCATTGCTTACCTCGAGCAGCCAGGCACTCTCGAAGCCAGGGACCTCGCCGGCACAGCCGTCGACAAAGTGCGTATGGAGCGCAAAACAACGCTGCCAGCGCCATCTGGTGCTCCGCCACCCGACTAACAACTCACAAACCCCCTGCCGCAAAAAAAGAAAAAAAAAGGACACTAATGTTTTCTACTAACTAGCTGAGTATACTTTCACGAGGCATCTATACTACCTCGGCATTTGTCGTAGTTTTTCTCTCCCCTTTTGTGTTCCTGTTCCCACATTTTATTAATGCGGAAGCATTAACTGTCTCATGGAGCGAATGGACCTTTTTCCAGTAAGCGTCTGCGCACGCGCACACCCTTTCCACTTGACCTTGACCGCCCTTTCGCCATTTTTGGGGGCACTGTTTTCTTGCGACACTAATCTGTTCCTATGGGAGAAGGCGAGTTCGGTTGCCCTCCATTTGTAGTAGGCGGCGAAACCGTCATGGGGCACTCCTTACTGGAAAAAGGTCCATTGGCGTTATCAGCTTTTGAAGCCGCGCCAAACGGCACCTAAATTCCCCCGTCTTAGGGAGCGAAGCCTGTAGTCTGTAGCAGCGAATTGATGGATAGCCTCCCATTGCTCGTGCGCGGCATAGTTCCAAGAAACGCCACCCCAGACTCCATGGCGCTGCGGCTCCCGCAGAGAGAAGCAGAAACGGCCGAGGCGCCATGGGGATCAGAAGCGGCCACGGCGCGAAAAACGACATGCATGCTTTCGCATTCACAACTCCTGAGAAGTGCTAAGATATCTTTTTCCCATTAGCTGAACATGTGATCTACAATGTATGATGACAGATGACCTATGCACTCTGTGGCTAATGTGATTAGAGAGAGGTGGCGCAGACAATCTTCGAGCTGTTAGCGCGATCCATGGCACATGCAGAACCCGATGAAATTTTGATCCCGAATCGAAGCTTTGGGTGTCGCACCCAAAGCTGATCAAAGTCACGTGATTCGTGTTCGATGAATATCTTCGTGCAGAAATGGATTGACTGCATCCGCTGGAATTGTCAAGACCCGACGAAAGTGCAGTTTTTAGAGCGCAGCTCTTAGGCGCCCGTTTCCGGCTTGAGCGGCGTAGGCGTCGCCGTCGGCGTAACCGCGTGGTGCATTATGGGTAAATTTCCCCGCTAAATCTAGCGAAAAAATTTCCCGCTAAATCTAGCGGAAAAAAATCCCCGCTAAATTTGTCGGAAAAATTTCCCCGCTAAATCTAGCGGAAAAAATTCCCCGCTAGATCCAGCGGAAAAATTTTCCGGCTGAATCTAGCAGAAACATTGCCCCGCTAAATCTAGCGGAAAAAATTTCCCCGCTAAATTTAGCGGAAAAAATTACCCGCTAAATCTAGCGGAAAAAATTCGCGGAAAAAATTCCCCGCTAAATCTAGCTGAAAAATTTCCCCGCTAAATCTAGCGGAAAAAGTTCCCCGCTAAATCTAGCGGAAAAATTTCCCCGCTAAATCTAGCGGAAAAAATTCCTCGCTAAATCTAGCGGAAACAAAATTCCCAGCTAAATCTAGCGGCAAAATTTTTCTGGGGGGTCGCGTGACCCCCCCCCCCCCCCCCCCCCCCCCCGAGGTCACGTGACACCCCGCCCCGAGAACAGGTGACCCTCAGTACCCTTCCCTCCTCCTCCTCAGGAGCTGCGCTCTAATTCGGTGTTACAGGGAGTTGTAAACGGCTTTCATTTTTTTCTACCCTTTCCCCCCTAGCCCATTTGTGCCTTGCTCCCTTCGCTGCAGTTTTGTACAATAAAACATTTGCTTTTACTCGTTAAAAAACAAGCACTCGTGGACCCGTAAGCTTTGTATGCATATATTTTATTCTGAAAGTACATGTAGAATCTATATTACTTTTTTAACATGGCGGCATGACGCACTTGTCTAAATAGTATAACCTAATTGAGATTTCGTACGAATGACGCAATCATAGTCTATTTTTTGTCGAGCTTGCCAACCACAACCAAGGGGTACAGCCTGCAGATCCTTTAACAATATCGCGCGAATACCAACCGGCCAGATAGATCAGCGCCTTATCGTGGCGTGAAATAGGAGGTCAGCGAGATCACGCGCGTGTGGAAGATGGAAGATCACGCGCGTGTGGAAGACACACCTAGCCTCGCTGGCTTGCTGTTTTACGCCGCGGTTAGGCGCTGATCTACCGGCCGATCCAGAGCCGTTTATACTAAGAGAGTTTGGCCAATTGTTGGAGCTTACTGCCTGCTAGAACCAGCGGATTTCGCGATAACACTAAATGGCGTTACTTCTTTGTGTTATTTATTTCTGAGAAATCGCACAGAGTTCGTATGAGTCATAGCCACATAATGGCGGAAGGAAGTAGTCATCCTCCAGTTGTCAGACTACGCTGCTGTGGTTGCCAGGCTGTCAAAATTTCCTTAAAGGGACGATGCAACAATGTTTGTACTTTGCGCTTATACCGCTTAGAACGGACCCCTGACGTTAATGACCTATGAAGCACGCGTACGTTTTTCACCCCACGCAATAAAAGTCCCAGAAAAAGAATTAAAGAAAAACGAGCCGCGTTCACCCCCTCAACACGCGGCCACGTTACTGGAGCGAGCTCAGTTTCACAGCTCCGCCTGCGACGTGGGCTTAGTTGGCTTAGTGGCGGTCACGAGAACTAGCAGCGCTACAGTCTAGTCTTGCTTCCGGATCGTCTAGCCCGCGAAGCTACAATAGCAATATTTGAGCTTGGGCGAGTTGGCAATTCATAATAACCCTTCACAGCGCAAGGAAACAGACGCACACAAAAATAAATTTCAAACACTCAAAGAAAGAACACTCACAGTGCGCTGACACTGATCTGTCTCGTGTATTACACTTCATCTTCATCATCTTTGTTTTGCTATTATACACATGGAAGCAAAAAAAAAAGGAAGAAAAGAAAAGAAAAGGAAGCTCTCAACGCGGTGGTATACTCTGTTTCACCTTATGATGTACCGCAGAAAAGGCTACAAGCGCGAGCTCCTTGTTCTGTGGCAGATCTCGGCGGCACAAGCTCTCGTGCACCAGGGGCAGCTGCCAACGCTATGAGCTCGCGCTTCTAGCCTTCGCTGTGGTACAACATAAGGTGAAACGGAGTATAGTAGACGACGCGCGAGACAGGGGAGCAAGATCCGACCGCAGCGCCGCTAGTTCTCGTGACCGCCACCTGGGCCACTCGCCCCTGCAGGCGAGAATAGGAAGTATTCACTGGCGGCCATAGCTGTGTGCACGACTGCTGACCGCATGCTGATGGCGAGCTTCCACTGTATTTTTGTAACGTGCATTTCGCACACTCAAGATTGCCGGTCTTAGCATCCTACTTATGTGGGCTCGTTCAGAGCATGCCCTCTAGACATCACCCACAAATATGGCGCCCAGTGAATACTCCTTATATAGGGAGTTGCGAAACTAAGCTTGCTCCAGTAACGTTGCTCGCAGCCAGAACAAGCGGCCACGTGATCTGGAGCCGATTATATGCCGCCACCGTTGATCATAGCCATGCGTTGGGGTTGGCAAAGCACTGGACACGCGCTGAGTTCCAGACATTCTTATGGCTCGGCTGTTGTCGTCGTTGCAGCGATTGGACACGGGTCGCTACCCGTATGCTTCTCGAGCTACTAATTATCACGAGCCCAAATCGAGTGTCCACGCAATGCTCGGGTCCAATTTATGTACCGCATTCAAATATCGTCATTGGGGTGTACTGCGATCCCCACGTCATCAAATTTCGCAAAGGAGAGATTGTATGAAAATTATCGCTTTTGTCCTTGAAATTACACCGCAACAAAGGAGTCTCTCGGCCAGTGGCGTTGCGTGCGAGTATCCTTGAGTCCCACTAGTGCCAGTAAGCTCTTGTAAAAAGAAAAACATTCCAATTGAATATCGTTGCACGGCTCCTTTAATAAGAAGGCCGAATAGAGCACTGCACGGGCCGGGCCAGCCCGAGCCCGACCCGGCCCGCGGGCCGGGCTCGGGCCGGGTAGCACGTTTTTTCTCGGGCCCGGGCCGGGCTCGGGCTTGAACAAAAAAGTTCTCGGGCCCCGCCGGCCCGGGCCGGCCCGGGCCGTGCCTGAGCAATCTTGTGCCGTAAATCATAAATTGTTGTTGATAGCAAGAAGTTTGCTCATTAATCTTTTAGGTTCATTAAATACAAGAAAAAAAAGCGAAGTGCAAATTCACTACAGCGTCGTTAAAAATAATAACTAAAAGACGTCTTGAAGCTAGAAAGCCTTCAAGCTTTTTCCGTGTGAGCGAGGGTTCAGTGTTATAAATTGTAAACAAAATAAAGTCCCAGTCATATGCTTGTCAACCTGTCTGATTCATCGCTCTCAAAAATATCTAGTTCACTATTAGGGAGGTTTAGAAAAACGTTCGCAAGCGCTTTGGGTACCGTAAAAATAGCGTTGCGATGTAAAACCTCTGGCGATGCTAATTTTAGCTTGCCCAGAGTGCTTGAGTACGTTATTCTAAGACTCCCTTATTGCACAGAGCGTGGCACTATATTAGCGCGAACAAGCGATCGTCGTGTTTTTATGTTTATCTCGTAGAATCAAAACGCTGTTTTCAAATCTATTAGTGTCTTTAGAAGTGCTCATCTGGGCCACAGACCTAAGTGGTATACTTTGGTGCCTACTAACACCATTTCGAAGTAAAATTCGAAAAAAGAGCCAACGTCGTATTCGCGGTATCAGTGTCGCGCAGTGTACATAGTCCGTTCCGCGCTTGCACGTTTTAAAAACCACCTTGGAAAAAAAAACAAAAAAAACGTTTTATGGGGTTAAGTAGGGATATATTAAACTTAAGCTTGCCTGCAAGGGTTGTATATTTTAAGAACGCGTTGACATGTAAAGCTACTTCAGAACATATTCTCAAACAGAAAAGGTGCGCAGACCAGGCTTAGAACGATGGAGACTTTTTGCGAAGAGGTTGCGATGTGCATGGCCTTATAGAAGTAGGTTGAAACGGGACGCGTTGAAACGCAAAGGGTGTTTCGGAAACTGGTTCAAATAAGAAGGACGTTTAGG